TACAGCAACTTGAAATGCTCCCAAAAATGGCACTACAGCATGTAAAAATATAAAGTAAGCTCTGGCGGACTTGGTTCTATGGTAGGTCTTAAAGGGTTAAGCCCTGCCCTTTCTTCTTGTTTTTCACTGAAGGGCGGTGTGCAAGATTCATGTCAATAAAAGGCAATGGCAATGCAATAAAATGGTATGACTAAGGTCAGAAAATCTGAAAGCTGTCATGAGCTCATTTTTACGAAGCAATTTTCTCTTGTTTATTTTGCTGTATTCCTACTTTTCTTATGCTATGTCCTCTTGTGTGTTTACCTCCTCATGTCAGCTACAGGGGCAATTTCATCTAAACATAATGCACAAGAGTGGAGATGTCATCCTGGGTGGATTGTTTCCAGTCCACTTTTTCTCAAGTTTTCCTGACCTGTCTTTTGCCTCAGAGCCACAACAGCCTTCTTGCCATGGGTAAGTATGACAGGGTGAAATAGGGAAGTAAAGCAAGGTAAATATGACAGGGAAACAACAAAAAGAGAGAGAACAGGGACAAACCTAATGCTAATTTAAATATAAATGTTATGTCTAAAGTAACTATACTTTGTTTTCTTCGCTGAAGCTCAGAATAACGCATACTGACTGAAGCTTGTTCTTGATTATTTTTTCATTAAAATATCCCTATAATTGTTGTTATTCAGTTTTCTTAATTGTTTGTATGAGTATCTTTGTAACATGTTTTCTAATTATCCTGATGTATTTTTCAAATCAAAATGTTTTTGTTTTTATTAGTTTCTATGTTCAGGGGTTTAGGCAAGCACAAACCATGGCTTTTGCTATTGCTGAGATCAACAACAACTCCAACTTGCTGCCTAATGTGACTGTGGGATACACTCTTTATGACAACTGTGCTGAACTTAGAATTGGATTCCGTGGAGCATTGTCATTAGCCAGTGGTCAAGAGGAACAAATTATATTACATAATACATGTGTTGGAAACCCTCCAGTCCTAGCGATTGTGGGTGAAACTTCCTCTACACGTTCTATTGCAATCTCCAGCGTATTAGGTTTGTACAGAGTACCCATGGTAAGTTTTCAGTTTAACCATAGAATATTATTTATGGTTATATTGATTTAACTGTAAATTTAATGTCAAAAATAATGTACAACATATTGTCTGGTTTTCACAGGTGAGTTATTTTGCCACATGTTCCTGTTTGAGTGACCGTCAAAAGTATCCATCCTTCTTTAGGACGATCCCAAGTGATGCTTTCCAGGTTAAAAATCAATCAGGACAAATACAAAAAGTCAACAGTAGCTGATCAGCAGCACTCATGTTTTAATCTGTATTCACTTAGGTACGTGCTATGATTCAGATCCTAAAATATTTTGGCTGGACTTGGGCAGGTCTGCTCATCACTGACGATGATTATGGACTTCATGCAGCCAGATCCTTACAATCCGAGCTGAGTGTGTCTGGAGAAGGTTGCCTTGCCTACGTTGAAGTGTTACCCTGGGACAAAGACACTGATGAACTCAGGAGGATTGTGGATATGATGAAAAAATCAACAGCTCGTGTGGTCATTGCCTTTGTACATTTGAGTCACATGATAAACCTTATAGAAGAGGTGCAGTTTTAAAAGAATCTGATTATTTCTTGTTATAAAAATCTGCATCTCTACTCTGTGTAAAAGATGTATTACATTTTTATTTGAATTAATACAGAACACAAATGGTATAGAATAAGTTTTAACATCAGGAAATACTTCAGTCACATGTTAATGTCACCAAAGTATTTGTGAAATGATCACTTTTTACATTTGGTAAAATATAATGCACAGGTAGCCAAGCAGAATGTAACAGGTCTACAGTGGTTGGCCAGTGAAGGCTGGACAGCAACAGGTGCTGTGCTCCAAACACCTAAGTTCATGCCATACCTGGGTGGTACACTGGGTATTGCTATTCGACGAGGAGAAATACCAGGGCTCAGAGAATTCCTATTACAAATACGTCCTGACCTACATCACAATAATAACTATGGAAATAGTATGGTGAGAGTTTAAAAATTTACTGTGGTAGTTGCAAGAATTTTTTGTTGTCAATGTTAAAACAAAGCACAAAGTAAAAATTTGCCAATAACATATTTCAGGTGAATCAGTTCTGGGAATTCAGATTTCAGTGCAGATTTGCTCCAGCTCCAGCAGGCTGGATGGAAGGTGGAGGTGCATTATGCACTGGACAGGAAGATCTAGAAAATGTGAATACGAAGTTCTTTGACGTTTCCAACCTCCGGCCTGAGTACAATGTGTACAAAGCTGTTTATGCTCTGGCATATGCCCTTGATGACATGCTGCAGTGCAAGCCAAGAAGAGGGCCTTTCAGTGGACACAGCTGTGGCACTTTACAATCACTGGAGCCATGGCAGGTGTGATATTAGTTTATACTCCATCTATGAGTAAATCATTTGTTCTATAATTACTTTCAGAACAAGATGCACCCTGTAGGATAAAAAAAAAATGCAATGAGATTAAGTATAAAAACACTGAAGTGAACTAAATGGATGTTTCATATTGAGTGAAAGTAGTATTTATGTTATTTATAATAGAGCACATTAATTTATATGCATATATATGGTGATTAGAGACATCCCGTGTTTAATTTAGAATTGGATTTTAGTGCATTTATATGTACAGGTATAACAAGTGCTAGATTTAATTTGCCTGTACTTTGAAATCTATTTCTTATATATTACTTTTATAATTTATTAATTTATAATTTTGAACAGCTTGTTTATTACTTGGAAAGGGTAAATTTCTCCACGCCATTTGGTGATCAAGTGTCATTTGATGAAAATGGTGATGTGGTGCCAATTTATGATGTGATGAACTGGTTGTGGCTCCCTGATGGAAGCACTAAAGTTCAGAATGTGGGTGAGGTTAAGAGGTCAGCTTTCAAAGATGAAGAAATCATACTTGATGAAGACAAAATCTTCTGGAACTTTGAATCCAAAAAGGTCATACATGGCTTTTCAGACTTTACCTTTTGTCACATGTACAGTGAATTTCATTCTAGTAGGTAATATTTAAGTTTGTCCAACAGCCAGTTCGATCAGTATGCAGTGAGAGCTGTCCACCTGGTACCCACATGGTAAGAAAGAAGGGGGAACCTAAATGTTGTTTTGACTGCATCCCTTGTTCTGAGGGAAAAGTCACTAATAAGAGCAGTAAGTGTTTATCTTTCAACATGCCATATTTAATTTTATTCATATTAACTATAATATGCATTTTACCATCCTCCCCTTTCTTCATCTTTTTCCTATTTATCAGACTCCTTGGAGTGCACCAGTTGTCCAGAGGATTTTTGGTCAAACCTCCAGAGTGACCAATGTGTCCCAAAGAAGACAGAGTTCCTCTCTTACCATGAGCCTCTGGGTATTTGCTTGACAGCAGCCTCACTACTGGGCACATTTATATGTACTGTTGTTCTAGGGATCTTTATCTACCATCGCAGAACACCTATAGTACGTGCCAGCAATTCAGAACTTAGTTTCCAGGTATTACTGTCACTCAAGTTATGTTTCCTTTGTTCACTGCTGTTTATTGGACGACCCAGGATGTGGACATGCCAACTCAGGCATGCAGCATTTGGGATCAGCTTTGTGCTGTGTGTCTCATGCATCCTGGTAAAAACCATGGTTGTTCTGGCTGTGTTCAAAGTCTCCAAGCCAGGAGGGGGAACCAGTCTGAAGTGGTTTGGTGCTATGCAGCAGAGAGGAACAGTTCTGTGCCTTACATCTGTTCAAGCAGCCATTTGTACTGCTTGGCTTGTTTCTTCCTCTCCAACTCCACATAAAAACACCCAATACCAAAATGATAAGATTGTTTATGAGTGTACAGTTGGGTCCACTGTTGGTTTTGCAGTGTTATTGGGTTATATTGGCATGTTGGCTGTCCTCAGTTTTCTAATTGCATTCCTGGTGAGGAATCTTCCTGATAGTTTTAATGAGGCCAAGCTCATCACATTCAGCATGCTGATCTTCTGTGCTGTGTGGGTGGCCTTTGTTCCTGTGTATATCAGCTCACCGGGAAATTATGCAGATGCAGTGGAGGTATTTGCCATCCTGGCCTCAAGTTTTGGACTCTTGATCACACTGTTTGGACCCAAATGTTACATAATCCTGATGAGACCGGAGATCAACACAAAAAAGGCTGTAATGGGTCGTGGTGCTGAATCGTAAAAATGTTTTCACATAAATTAAAATGCATGCATGAAAATAAATACATATAAATTAATATATCATGAATATATAAATAATTAGATTCATGCAAGACTCATATTGCTTATACTTGTATATCCTGTCTTTCTAAATGTGATGTATATTGACCAGGGTTTATAATACTGAATGAATTTGAAAGTATCAAAAACAGAAATAGTTGATACAAAGAAGCTTTAATCCATTTTTCAAATAAATGAATTTTATGCAAGGTTGTTAGAATTTTAAATTTTATGACCGGTTCAAAAACTCCAGATCACCTTCAGTGATCTGCAGTGAGTATATGGTTTTAGTGACTTTTAAATACAAGGATTTTTTTTTTATTTTTGAGCGCTAATTTTGAATTACAAGCAATTGAGACATTTGGCTTTCACTATTATGCATTTATACATATCATAGCAGCTATTTTCTTTCTTGCTTTCTTGCTTGACCTGTTTGAATCTCACCTGATTTGAATTGCACATTCTGATTTATGGTACTGTGAAGATAGAGCAGGGTTTTTTTCACCAGGTGACAGGATGTTTAGAGGTTTCTCCCAACAGTTATTTGGAAGAGCCTCAGTGCAGAATTTAGTGGCGTTTGAAGCTAAAGCATGATTAAAGCAAATGATTTAAACAAGATAGACAGAGAACAAAATAAAATCAATAAATAAAATAAAATATGTAAAAAATAAATAGAAAATTAAGTAGATAATAATAGTGTGCACTCAGCAAGTATAGCCAGCTTGTGTATACACACATACTGATATATACACTCACTCATGGAAATACGGCCTTATATTACTAAAAAAAAAAAACAAAAAACAAAACAAAAAAAAAACACACATACAAAAAACCCCCCAAACAAACAAGGAAACAGACAGTGCTAAAAGAACACACAGTGAGACAGTAAGTTTTAAGTTGGTTTCCCCAGGGCTTCAGGCTAGAGTTTAGTCCGAAGATTCCAAGTCAGTGAGAGAGGGATCTGATAAAATGGCTGTAGCAATGAGCTGTGTCTTCCTCCGTTGCAATCAAACTAACATCTCCATCTCCTGTCTTACCATTGAACAGTCCAGCACATGCAAGCTCCTCAGGCTATCTTCAAAAACCACAACAGCACATCTCCCATACAAATTAAATGGGTACAGTCATATCTGTTCATTGTCGGTCATGTCACGGTCTGCCGGGGCAAGCTGTGTGGTGATTATTTAGGACCCGGAAGCGGCAGCTCTGGTGCAGGTGAGTATTTATTTACAAAAG